TCTCCACAATGGAGTACTATGTAGCTGTTAGAAAAGATGAAGTCATGAAATTTACATACAAGTGGTACTACATGGAAAGTATCATGTTAAGCCAAATGAGTCAGAAAGAAAGGGATAGACATAGAAAGATTGCATTCATCTGGGGAACATAAAGTAACAAAATAGGAGACTAACACCCAAGAGTGGTCGAGATTAGGACCAGGAGTTTTGCTCCATGGCTTGGAGGCCAACCACACATGCTAGGGGAAAAGGGAGCTCAGATAAAGAGGGGAACACCAAATAAAGGTGTTGGGAGGTTCCTCCCAGGATGGGGGAAGCATGCTGAAAGTAGACTATAGACCAAACATGATTGCCACTCAGTGTTTCTTTTGCAAACCACAACACCCAAAAGGAGAGAGAGAACAGAGGGGAATGCCCTGCCACAGAGGTAGGGTGGGATGGGGGGGATGGCAGTGGGAGGGATACTGGGATCTATGGTGGTGGAAAATGGGCACTGGTGGAGGGATGGGTATTTGATCTTTGTATAATTGAAACCCAAGCACAAAAATTTGTAAGTCTACAACTGTACCTCATGGTGTTTCACTAATGAAAATTTAAAATAAATTAATAAAAAAAAAGTAGTTAACTTGGCAATCAAAAAAAAAAAGAAGTAAGAGTTTCTAAGAAATGAAGATTTAAGAAATCAGAGTTCAGCTGAGAGGCTTTTTGGGGGGGTGAGAGGGACACGGCAATGCTCAGGGATTACTCCTGATTCTACACTCAGAATTTACTCCTAGTAGTGCTTGGGGGATCCTATGGGATGCTGGAGATTGAACCCAGGTCAGCCACACACAGGGCAAACATCCTACCCACTGTACTATCATTTTAGCCCCAAGTCTAAGTCTTTTGGGGCACAGCTAAGGCGCTTGTCCCACTACTACGGCCCCTTCCCACACATCACTGCATCCAAGTACTCGCTTTCTGAGAGGAGTCATCTTCTCTAATTCCATTTTTACTGTTTCTTCCTGCCCTTGAGTCTCACCCAAGAATCCTGTGAGAAGAGCTGGGAAGCCTCTATTTCTCTTCAGTTTTCTCTCCAAAGGCCCTTTGTACCCCAGAACTACTTCTAACCCACTGACCCGGTGGGGCACATACTCCACTTGTAGTGCTTCCGTCACAGTACCAAGCTGCCTGGAATGTTCTCGACTTGACCACTTGTGGACCCTCCCTTGGGGCAGAAGCCTGCGGCGTGGTCTCAGGGCAGGACTGGAGCTCAGAGGTTGTGCTAGAGGCATTTCTGAACTCTCTTGGTTCCTGAACATTTCTCATCCTGTCAGCCCTTCAGAGGAGGTGTCTCAGGGGCTGGGATAATACAAAGAGAGGCCAGGGAAGAAGCCACCTAAAGCAGTGGGGAATCCCAGAGATAGTCCTAGGAGTGCTTCCCTCTGCCCTGTGGATGTGACTCCACCTCTGGCCCCGTCCCCCTGCAGCTGTTCCCAGTGTGAGCCTGAGTTCCAGTCCACCATCCTCCCTCTGCTGCTCTGCCACAGAGCTTCTGCCTCTGTTGCAACTCTTTCCCTGCTCACAGACTGTTGTCCTCTTTGTAGCTGCCTGGCAAACTCCTATTCATCCTACAAAACCCAGCTCCAATGGCTTTTTTTCTCTTTTTTTGCTTTTAGGTCACACCTGACAATGCTTGGGGTTATTGCTAGCTCTGCACTCAGGAATTACTCCTGGCAGTGCTCAGGGCAACATATGGGATGCTGGGGATTGAACCCAGGTTGGCCATGTGCAAAGCAAACGCCCTATCACTGTACTATAGCTCCACTGTACTAGAGCACCAACGTCACCTCTGCCTTTTCCTGAGACACTCCCTTCCCCACTCGCTAACCACTTGGTCTTTCCCTCTTGTCTGCCTCTGAGTGGATTCACACAAAGCCCTGTGAGAACCCTGCTTGGGGACCTGTGGACCTCTATATGAACTGCATATCTGGAGGAATCAGCCCTGTCCCCGGGCTTTGGGAACAGAAACCTGTGGCTCCTGCACCTTTCTGGACCTGGGGCCCCATGTACAGACTCTGGAATACCATGTCTCTGCCTCTTCTTACTAGACCATCCATCCTGCCCCAGCACCCACTGGTTCTCGCACACAGTTATGGAGGCCTAAAAGGCAAGTCCATGGACAGACAAAACAGGCTTTATGGGGCCAGGGGTGGGGAGGCTGAGAGGCAAGTAGCCTCCTCCATCCAATGGGGAGGTGAGTCAGGGGACAAAGTATGCCAAGGCTTTTCTGAAAGCCCAGACGTTCCCTGCACCTTGAACCCCATTTACTGTAAAGCACAGACACTGCCCGCCCCCAAACGGCAGCAGTGGCTGGAGCGACAGCACAGCGGTAGGGCGTTTGCCCTGCACGTAGCCAACATGGCCAACCCGAGTTCGATTCCTCCACCCCTCTCGGAGAGTATCCCGCCCACACGGCAGAGCCTGGCAAGCTCCCCGTGGCGTATTCGATATGCCAGACACAGTAACAACAAAATCTCCAACGGAGACGTTACTGGGCCCGCTTGAGCACATTGATGATCAACAGGAGGGCCTTTACCTTTACCTTTATCCCTCCCCTGTGTACCTCCCCAGGGTGTGGCCAGGCTCTCCAGCCAGTCCCACGCCCAGCTCTTCCGCCAGTGTGCTGGCCTCCAGAGTGCTTCTCCACACGTCCCCTTGGCCTTAGGCTCACTTCGTGGGCCCTGCGTGTAGCGTTTCTTTCCCCCTACAGAGCCCCTAGGAGGTGGAGGTTGATGCTTTCCAATCTCATCTGAGAGCTGGTGGAAACCAAAGACGGGAGGGGCTTTCGGAAAGGCATAGCGTTGGCAAACATAAGTGGTGTTGGTGAGGCAGTTCCCTCCCTTTCTTGGCCCCCCTTCACCCTCAGAACTGACTCCATCCCTGTGCCCACTTGGTGGGAGCGGCAGCTTCTTGTTTGTTTGCTTACTAGGGGCCACAGCCAGCAGAGCTTGTGCCACCAGGTCACACCTGGTGGTTCTCGGTGCTGGGAACCATCCAGTGGTGGGGTCTGACGGGCCCAGGAGGTGCTGAGATTTGAACTCAGGGCCTTGCAATTGCTGGGCCCAGGCCCCATCACTTGAGCGATCTCCCCAGGCTGGTTCTTGCTATTCTTGGTTTTAAGAAACAGTTAGTGGGGCTGGAGTGATAGCACAGCGGGTAGGGCGTTTGCCTTGCACATGGCCGACCCGGGTTCGATTCCCAGCATCCCATATGGTTCCCTGAGCACCGCCAGGAGTAATTTTTGAGTGCATAAGCCTGGAGTAACCCCTGAGCATCACCAGGTGTGACCCAAAAAGAAAAAAAAAAAAGAAGAAACAGCTCCTGGACCAGAGTAATAGCACAACAGTAAAGTTGCCCGCCTTGTACACAGCAGACCCATGTTCCATCTCCAGCATCCCCCGTGGTCTCCCGAGCCTGCTAGGAGTGAGCTATGAAGTAAGCCCGGAGCATGGCCAGATATGGCCCAACAGAAAGAAATGGTTAGCTCCTTCAGAAGCCTAACTCATTCGCCTCCTCTCTCGATCACATTCTCTTGCCATTAGGGGGACCATTCTATGGTCTGGTAGCGAAAAGCTTGCCAGGGTGGGAACCAAGACATCTGTGACTATTTGGCCCACCCCCACCCCCACCACCATGAGGCTGTTAAATCATTTCTCCAGACTGTGCCTCTTCTCCATCAGTAAATAAAATTCCTCATCTTACCTCCCTCTCTCCTCCCTCTAAGGCTTTTTTTGTTTGGCTTTTGGGGGGGAGTCACTCCCTTCAGTGCTCAGGGGTCACTGCAAGTGCTTGGGAGCTGTCCTGAGGACCATGCGGTGTTGGGGATTTAACACAGAACTCCTGCATGCAAAGCCTGAGCTCAGCCCATTCAGCTATCGCTCTGCCCCCTCTAAATACATTTTGAGTTTGTGAACAGAAATATATTTTGAGGGGCTGGAGAGTACAGAGGGTAAGATACTTGTCTTACACATGGGTGACCTGAGTTTGATTTTGGGCATCCCATAAGGTCCCCTGAGCACTGCTAGGAATGATCCTTAAGTGCTGAGCCAGGAGCAACTCCAGGAGTGGCTCAAAAACAAAAAGCAAAAAGCAAAAAGTTTATTTTGAGAAGCACGGAAAAAGGAAGGGTCAGAGGTGCTGATTGGCTAGTCCTCAGGCAGAGATGAAATCTGGGAATGCAGTTGCCTGCCCAGCCTGGGGTTGACCCACTGGGAGCCTCTGAGGACAACAGAGCCCATTTACAGGGCACTTTTGTGGGGAGGGAGTCCGGGGCTAGGGATGAGGAGACTTGGGTTCTTCTGTTTAGTCCCTGTTGTGACCTGGTCTGGCCACGACCCCTCTAAGCCTCAGTTTCTCCAAATGCAACTTGTTCAGGGGAGGGTGGAAGAAGCGAAGCTCCTTGGACCTCCCCAGGGATCTGCTCATCTGCATCCCAGACTGTGGACCCGGGGCTCCGGACTCCTGTTCACTCATATTCCACGTGAGACACAGTCCGACCAGGAAGCCCGTTTTACAGGGAACCGTGACGCTAGCTGGGGGAAACCCCGTCGGGGGCGGTGGGGCCAGGTTGACACCATCTCTCCACCTGGCCCTGGCGTGTCTCTTCCGAGCCTTTGGGAGTCCGCATGCTCTGCCGGGGAAGGGGTCCCAGCAGGCGAGTCGGCGGCGGGGTTCCCACGGCCCCCGCGCTCGGCTCCTGCGCCCCGCATGTGCGCGCGGGTAGATCCGCAGAGCAACGGCGGGACAGAGCCTCAGAGCCGCGCATCTGTGCCCGGGAGACCCCCGGAGCACATCTGGGACCTGGAACCCGGGAAGAGCGGCACAGTACCCAAAGATTCCCGCCTCCCTCCGGCTCAGCCCAGCAGAGGGTCGGCCTAGGATCGGGATCCCCCCTGCACGGTCCCCGGGAGGCGCGAAGCTCCCGGCTCCCAGCCCAGCGCTCCTGCAGCTCCCCTTACCTGCGGCCGGGCTCCGAGCGGCGCCCCTGGCTCGCGGCGACCCCGCCAACCCCGCCGCGGGCTCTGCGCCCAGACCGCGCCGGGCCGGCCGCTCCCTCCCCGGCGTCTCCACGCCCCCAGCACACCCACGGCTCCTCCGCCCCCGACAAGCCTCCAGCCGCCGACTTGACTCTTCCGTCCCCGCCGCCCGCGCCTCCCCCGGACTCTGGAGCCTGCCGCGCCCCGCCCGCGCGCTGGCGGATCAATCGGGCGCGCCGGTGGATCAATTGGGCTCACCAAACCTCACCTCTTGGGGGGTGGGGTCCCGAGTCCCCCATGCATCAGTTACAGCGTGATGTTAGGGTCAGACGAGTCCAGACCAGTCAAGCTGGACGGTCTCGGGAGGAATGCCCCGATTGTAAACCCACTCTTCCAAGCTGAGCGCGTGGGGCCCGCTTTAGGGAAGGGGCTTACCCATCAGCTCAGAGTCCTCCTCAGGGATTCTGAGTCCTTAACCAGAATCCAGACCTCCTCCCTCCAAATCTCAACAGCTGCTCAGTCGCCCAGACAGTGGGGGGGGGGGGGGGGGGGGGTAGGAGGGGCGCGCTAGGAGGGGGTTGTCTAAGCACATCTCACTGCTGCCTGTCTCAGAACCCCCAAGAACTTTCTGGCTGTTGTTGGCACTGCAGGATGCAGAGGAAAGGAGCACCAGACAGGTGGGGAATAAGGACCTGGGGGGCAGGGGAGTGGACTCTAGTGGAGAACAGCCTCCCCTGGGCTCTCTCTCTCACACACACACACACACACACACACACACACACACACACACTGGGACCAATGCTGTGCAGAATCGCTAAAGCTTAACAAATCATGTGACTTCCTTCTGTGGTTGATGGTGTAAACCCAGCATCTGCAGACCAGCTGCAGGGACGCCACTCTGAAGCAACCGAAGGGTCTCAGATGTCAGACTCCCTCAGAATCACCTGGGAGCCTGTTTAGTAATGTAGGCTTGGGGTTCCACTCCAGAGGCTTTGATTCAGGAGATTTGGAAGGGAGCCAAGAAATAAGCACTTCTTTCCCCACCCCCATCCTACTTCCCCCACCCCACCCACCCAAATGACAGTTCTTGAACTCAGCCTGAGGAAACAGCCTTGGCTGAAGTAGGCGTCACGGCACATCTGGCCCCCAGCCTCACATCTGCTCTACCACCCATCAGGAAAGAGCTATTTACTCATCTCATATACCACAATGTGAACTCTTTCAAAACAATGTTTTCTCACAGCTGGTAGGGCATTTTCCTTGCACGAAGCCGGCACAGGTTCGATTCCTCCGTCCCTCTCAGAGAGCCCGGCAAGCTACTGAGAGTATCCCGCCTGCACAGCAGAACCTGGCAAGCTCCCCGTGGCATATTCAATATGTCAAAAACAGTAACAAGTCTCACAATGGAGACGAAACTAGTGCCCACTCGAGCAAATCGATGAACAACAGGAGGACAGTGCTAGAGTGCAAGGTAGTATTAGATTCTAGAGCTCTAGAATCATTTGGGGACAGAAACTATGCGAGAAGGGCCTTCAAGTTAGCTTGTAAAATACAGTTCCTCAGAATCCCCTGTTATTATTTTTTTAAATTTTTTTGGGGGGTGGGGACCACACCCGGCAGTACTTAGGGTCACTCTTGGTGGTGCTCAGGGGACCATATGGGATGCCAGGGATTGAGCCCGGGTGACCCCATGCAAGGTAAAAAACCCTACCCACTGTACTATCACTTGGCCCCTGTAATTCTTTTTTGACCTGAGATTGTCTGGATCTTCCTACTTGCCTTTGCTGACAAGGAACTCACTTCTGCAGCAGCAGTGCTCTGGTCATTAGGGTCTTCTCATATTCCGACAAATAGCTGCTTCATATTATTTTCTACTCTTAGCTTCTGGTGTCCATGGGAGACACAGGTATGTGCAAAAAATGGGTTCCCCTTTTCAATTCTTAAGTAACTTAAGTCTGAGGGACCAGTGTGATAGTACAGCGGGTAGGGCATTTGCCTTGCATGTGGCTGACCTGGGTTCGATCCTCGGCATCCTATATGGTTCCCTGAGCCTGCCAGGAGTAATTCCTAAGTGCAGAATCAGGTGTAACCCCTGAGCATGCTGGGTGTGGCCAAAAGCCAAAAGCCAAAAAACACCCACAAAAAAAAAAAAACACTCATACACACACACACACACACACACACACACACACACACACACACACAGAACTAACCCCCCAAAAATATAACCAAAAAAAAAACCCCAAAAAACCCAAAACAAAAAACTTGTATTTGAAACTTAGAAACTAAATTTAGGGGCCTTAGTGAAAGCACAGTGAATAGGGTGCTTGCCATGCATGAGGCCAACTAGGGTTCAATATGGTGGTCACCAGGGTACTACTATGTGACCCCCTACAGAGCCAGGAGTAAGTCCTAAGGACAGCAGGGTGCAGCTCCCCGAAAGAAAAAGAAATTAAACTTTACTGTCCTCCATTTTCCCATCTCTGGAGTCAGGCTGGACAGAAACCCTGTGGTCCAAGATGACGTTGGGAAGCTGACTTAACTCCTCCCATTATGCCTTGCAAGCTGGGTCGGCTGTGTGGAGTGCCTAGCGCTGGGCCTGGATTAAGGCAGGCACTAAACTGATAGCAACTTCTGTAAGGTTAGATGAGACACAGAAGGAGAAAACACATTTTCTGTCCTGGGGAGATCAGAGTCTGAAAAAGACTATTAAGGGACATTTTCATTCTCAGAAATGATGACAACGCATTGACTTGGAACAGAGAGGACAGCGAATGAAAGCAGGGACAGTGCAGTGAGAGGCTCCCAGACAGACATGCCTTTCAAATCTCTGCTCAAATGCCACGGTGGTGCCGGAGATCTTGCCCAAGGCTGCATGCATAGGGGGCCTGTGCTTCACCACAGGGTTACCTCTGCAGTTCCAAAATGCCAGTTTCTTGGGAAGACCATACTTACAAAGCCTAACCTCTCTCTTTTCTTCACCTGCCCTGCCTTCTTTTTCTTTTTCTTTTTTTGGTTTTGTTTTGTTCAGGGGCCACACCTGGCAGTACGCAGGACTTGCTCCTGTTTTTATACTCAGGGATCACTCCTAGCAGGTTCAGGGTACCATATGAGGTGCTAAGGACTGACCCAGGCTGGCCGCATGCAAGGCACCTACTGCTGTACTACCTGCTTGTTTTTCAAGCCATAAAAACTGTCCCTGGGGCTGGAGCAATAGCACAGCAGGTAGGGTGTTTGCCTTGCATGTGGCCAACCCAGGTTCGAGTCCCAGCATCCCATACGGTACCCTAAGCACCACCAGGAGTAATTCCTGAGTGCAGAGCCAGGAGTAACCCCTGTGCAATGCCAGGTGTGACCCAGAAAGAAAAAAAAACTATCCCTGCCTGGTTTTTCAATGACATCTGTCATTTGTTGGGGCTCAAAACCAGGACCTCATACATAAAGCATTAATCATCTGAGAGAGTTAACATTTTTAAAAAAAATTTTTAAATTGAATCACTGTGAGGTAGTTACAAAGCTTGCATGTTTGAGATTCAGCCATACAATGATTGAACATCCATCCCTCCACCAGTGAAAATTTTCCACCACCCCATTCTCCACCCCCATCCAAGTCCTCACCCTGCCTCTAAGGCAGACAAATTCCCCAATACTCTCCACTTTGGGGCATTATATTTTGTTTAAATTTTCCCACCACCATTTGAGCCTGCCTGCCAGGGGCAGATACTAGATCATTTATTTTCCATCGCTCATCTTGCATATCATGAGAGGTCGCACAGCCGCAAAAGGGGCCTCGCGCTTCTGGAATTCTAAGATTGTAAATTGTTGAGTACCAGAGACATCTCTGTAGGGCATTGATCCATTTTGAGATTCAACTGGGGGTTTCTGGGCCTGCACTGTTGGTGTGCTAAGATGGCATCTGGGGGCAGGTTGTAGGTGTCACACCTGGCATCAGGAGGGGGCAGGGAGCCCGGGGTGGTACTGCTCTGCTCCACTGCCACCATGAGGCTTAAAGATTTAGTTCTGGAACCCGCACACCTGGGCCTTGCTCAAGTTGGCTCTTGGTCACCAGGATTCCATCTGGAGTAGGTGAGCATTTATTTTTTGTCTTACTGTTAGCTGTTCTTGCTGTATGCCTCCCTTGAAGCTGTCATGGTTCCTTCTGGGAGCCCTATCAGAGTTCTCCTGATCTCAGCATTGCTGCCAACACTCCCTTTCCCTCTGCTCTTAGGTCTGGAAGATAATGGTGCCCAAATCTTTGAGCCCCTGGGGTCTGTCATGATTCCATGCTTCTCTGCCTTTTCCAATAGAACCTTCTCAAACTTCAGACATGAGACTGCCAGATGCTCCCTCAGGACTGGGCTTATGCAGAGACCAGTTCTCTCACAACCCTGAACAATTCCTTGAACATAGCAAGTTCTATTCATTTTTATTTGGATTTTCAACCTCCCTTGCCTGTGCTCAGGGATCACACCTGGCAGTGCTAAGGATCTCAACACCATACAAGGTACTGAGGACTGAATTCCAGTTAACTGCATGCAAGGCACCTACCCACTAGGACTATCTCTCAGACCTAGCACACCCCATTCCATGTCATAATTGTTTCTTTGTGGTAATAAGAGGGCTGCCTGCATTTTCGGGTCCATGGACCATCCTGCCAGTAAAACCAGTGGAAAGAGCATTTTGCACCATTGGCCCTCCCAACAGAAGGGTCGGGCTCAAACAGGCTCATTGCTCATTGCTATGCTAGGCACAGAATCAAAGGGAGAAGACCTGGTGGTGGCTTCCTGCCTGCTCCACCAAGTAATCATGAAGTTGGTGAGAGGTGGGGTGCAGTTTTCTAAAGAATTCGGGATACTGTATCAGAAGTGGTGAGAATGATTGTTTGGGCTAAAAATCAGTGGCTTCTACAGTGGCTTCTGGAAAACGGATTTGGTCACAGAGGAGGAAGTCAGCCCAGAGATGCCCTGTCAGTGAGGATTGGGGAACAAGTGTGTCATAGGCATGGAGCCACACCTCTGGGGCAGAGAGTTCCGTAGCATCCCTGAGAAAAGCCCTGGGGTACT